TGTCTCGAAACAGTGCTCCCAGTGCCCGGCAACAGTGGCCCCAGTTCCTTGCACCGGGAGTCCCCAGTTACCCCAGCCAGGGACAAGCCTCGTGCCCCAGCAGCCCCTGCACCGGTGCTCCCAGTGCTTCTGGTGCTCCCAGTGCTCGGCACCAGTGCTTCCAGTGCTTCTGGTGCTCCCAGTGCCCGGCACCCGTGCTCCCGGTGCTTCTGGTGCTCCCAGTGACCAGCACCAGTGCTTCTGGTGCTCCTAGTGCTTCTCGTGCTCCAGTGCCCAGCACCAGTGCTCCCACTTTCCTGCACCAGTGCTTCTGGTGCTCCCAGTGACCAGCACCAGTGCTCCCGGTTTCCTGCACCAGTGCTTCTGGTGCTCCCAGTGCCTGGCACCAGTGCTCCCACTTTGCTGCACAAGTGCTTCTGGTGCTCCCAGTTTCTTGCAACTGCGTCTCTGCACCCAGTTACTTGCACGAGTGGCCTCCAGTTACCCCAGCCCAGGACCAGTGCCCCAGCAACCCCTGCACCAGTGCTCCCAGTTACCCCAGCCCCTGCATTAGTGCTCCCAGTTACCCCAGCCAGGGGCACACCTCGTGCCCCCGCCAGCCCTGGCCCCATGCCGAGGTGGCAGCCAGGGCCGTGTGGTGCCGGTTCAGCCTCTGTGCCACTGGCCCAGCTGTGGCCAGGCACCCACCCCTGGCACCCTTGGGTGCTCCTTTGCAGTGGGTGAGCCCTGCACGGGGCGGGCTGCGGACATGGGGGCCTCTCCTGGCCTGAGGATGAAGCTTGAGGTGCCCATGGGTGCCCACCGCTGTCGGGTGCCCGTGCACCGCAGGCTGCGGTGCTCTGGATCCCCCCATGGCTGCACCCCGTGGTGCTCCACCAGCCCAGCTCCCCATCCAGCCACTGCCATCCCCGTCCCCGTCCCTGTTCCTGTCCCCATCCCACAGGTCTGGGCACCAAACAACGCCCCGGCGCTGCCCGCAGCCTCAAACCTCTTCCTCCCTCCTCCATGTCATGCTGTTGCCTTCCCCAGCTCACCCCCTCACCCCTTCCCAGCTGCATCGTGGCCAGTTTCGGGGCCGGGGGCTGCGCCGCCCTTACTGGGAGCACTGGTTTGGACTGGGATGGCGGGCAATGCCTGGGAGCAGACAGACCAGCAGAGCTGGGGGGTCATTACCCCAACAGGGAAGCCCTTGGAGCTGCCTCTAGACCCATTTCACAGCGAAGAAAACTGAGGCACAGCCGTAGCAGGGCTGCCGGGCGCCGGCTGCCCTTTATGGTAAGTTCACAGGCGCAGGAAGCCAGAGCCCACGCCGCGTGAGTATAGGAAACAGAAGAGCCCGACCGCACGTCACATGCTGAGACGGCACGACCCATCGCGACGGCAGCGCTGCAGCAGGGCAGGGGCACGCAGCCGGGACAGGACCCTCCTGGAGCTGCGGGGCAGGGGGGGACGGCGGCGGAGGGGCAGCGCAGGAAGATGCTGGTGGCTGGAGGATGGAGGAGGCAGTGGTGAAGCAGGGCGTGCTCTACCTCCAGCTGCAGCAGACCTTCGGGAAGGTGAGGAGGTGGCGGGGGGCTGCTTGGTCCCCAGGGAAGACCCATGGGGGACTTGGCTGGGGTGGATGTGGGGGTACAGGGGGGTTGCATCCGAAGGGAATGGGATGCTCCCACCCGTTGGCTCCCCAATCATCCATCGGCTCTCCGCCAGCACGTCGGGCCGGTGGGGACGGGCAGGGGGATGGAAGGCACTGGGGACACATTGTAAAGAGACCCCCCCCCAGCAGGCCCCCCCCAGCAGAGGCTCTGCAAAGCAGGCCAGAGCCACGGCACAAACGGATGCAACCCCCGGAGCCTCGTTGCTTCAGTGGCTGATAATGGCTGGGGGGTTGGAACAGCGCCCGCCCGACCCGCCCCTCCACAGGCTCAAAATGCCGTGGGCAGGGTGGGTGTGAGGCAGGGCAGGGCAGGCAGGGCAGCAGGCAGGGCGGTAGGCAGGGCATCGCGTTCCTGCAGCAAGGCAGCTGCTGCCCTGCACGATGCCCGCGATGGCGGGGGGGGGGGGAGGACAGCAGGCAGGGCGGTAGGCAGGGCATCGCCTTCCTGCAGCAAGGCAGCTGCTGCCATGCACGATGCCTGCGATGGCGGAGGATGGGGCAGAGGCCATCCCCACGGTGGGTCCCAGAAATGCACCCCAGCAAAAGCGTGCCGTGTTTTGGCAAAGCCTGCCAGGCCCGGCAGGTCCCCGGTGCCGGGAGCCGCTGCGGAGGATGCTCTGATTTCGGTGCAAGACTTCCTCTCCCGCCGCTTCCCCTCCGCCACCGCCAGAGCCGGTGCTTCCCACGCAGGATGTGCCGTGAATTGCTGCCTTCTTGGAGGGCGAGTCGGGAATCGCTTTGAAAGTTGGTGTTTTTGGGGAAGATGGAGGGAATGAGGAGCTGAAAGTCCTTGAGCAGCGCGGGGCCGTCGGCACGGCTTTGGGATGCTGCAGGGTGGGGGAGGCGTGGGATGGATCCTGGTGCTGGGTGATGCTGTGGTGCTGCCGGTGTCTTTCCTGACTGGAAAAGACAGGCTGCCAGCTATGCTGTGTGTCAGGGATCCTTTTTTTATCCTTTATCAGTTTACCTCACCCTCCGCTTTGGCCAGCCCTCCTGGGCGAGGATGTGAGTCCCTGCCTGGACCCTGGAGGGGTTCACTCCAATGTCCTGCCCTGGGTTCATGCATGATCCCAAAGGGATAAAAACCCCTGGAAGGGTGAAAGCGGAGCTGGCCAATGCTGGATTTTCACTCCCCTCACTCCTTCTCCCCACGGCAGAAATGGAAGAAGTTCTGGGGCGTCTTGTACCGGGAAAGCTCCTGCTCCACCGCCCGCCTGGAGCTCTTCGAGGGCTCGGCGCCGCCGGCCGCCGAGAAGCTGCGGAAAGGCGAGGGCAGCAAGCGGCTGGTCAAGCTGAGCGACTGCGTGCATGTGGTGGAGGCGAGCGGTGATGCCGGCTGCCCCAAGGAGACGGTCCCCTTCCTGCTGGAGACCACTGACAAGCGGTACCTCCTAGCCGCTGATGGCACCGAGGTGGCCAGCTGGATCCAGAAGCTGTGCGAGCTGGCTTTCCCGGTATGCACTGGACAGGGATAACTGGGGGAATCCCGGGGGTTTGCTGCAACAGGGGAGGCTGGCGGGATGCCATGCTCTGCCCTCACTCACCCGCTGCTCTTTCCCGGGCAGAGGAGCAGGGAGGAGCAGGCAGCAGGCAAGGATAGCCAGCAGAGCTCACTGGGCACCGACAGCGGGTTCTCCATGGAGGAAAACTCCCTCTACAGCTCCCGGGGCAAAGGTAGGCACCAGGAGGTGGGGAAGGTGCAGTGCAGCTGGGTTTGCTTGCACCGGAGGCAGCGCACATCCCACAGCATCTCATCAGCCCCCTTCCCGAGGCACCTCGGCCCGCTTTGCGCCAGGGAGCAGCCCCTGCCTCGGCTACGTGCAGGCTGCGTGGTGGAAAGTCTCCTCCTGAAATAGCCTCTTCCTGCTCTGCGGTTTGGCAGGGCTGGGTTTCGCTGCGCTATCAGGCTGCTCCCGTGAAGCCGGAGCCCTCGAGCCCTTATCAGCCGGACGCCACTTCCCCACCGCCCCGGCTGCGGGGAGTCATGAGCCCCACGGCAACTCTCTGTGGTGGGAGACGCAGCTCTGCTCTTGCAGCAAGCTCTGCTCCTTGCACGTGTCAAATACCACCCTTCTCCGTCCCCAGGTGGCTTGGAGCAGGCGTTCGAGGTGACGGTGAGGGCCACCGAGTCCTCTGAGCGCTGTCGACTCTGGGGCCGCTGTATCCTGCGAGCCAACGAGGAGGTGCTGGAGCTGCGTGATTTCCAGACCTTGGAGATCCTCTACAGCTGGCCCTACCGCTTCCTGCGGCGCTTTGGGCGGGATAAGGTAGGTGGGATCCGGGAAGGGTGGGCTGGCGGTGGGCTGTGGCACGGGGACCTGATCCTGTCCCTCCCCAGGTGACCTTCTCCTTCGAGGCCGGCCGGCGCTGCACATCTGGAGAAGGCAACTTTGAGTTTGAGACCAGGCAAGGCAACGAGATCTTCCAGGCGATCGAGTCAGCCATCAACATGCATCGGGGCCGGGGGGCTGAGGAGCCATGGCGGGGTGGCCCCGGGGACGATGCCTCCCGGCTGCTCGGCCACACCAAGATGCCCAGCTGGGCACAGGGGCACGAGGAAACCAGTGGCACCAAGTGCCTCTCGCTGGAGCCCACCTGGGAGGGGAAGGTGCCGAAAGCCAAGCCCGTGATGCCCCCCAGCAGCTGCCCTGGGACCGGGGAGCCATCGGGTGCCTTCCTGCCCTCCCGTGGTGCCGAGTGCCCCTACACCGAGCCCTGCAACTCCCTCCACCGTGGAAAACCCCCGGTGATGGAGAAGGGCTGGAGGCAGGATGCTCCGGCCAAGGCAGCCGTCGAATCCGAGTATGCCGTCCCCTTTGACACCATCGCCAAGGCCTTCGTGACTCGCAAGTTCAGCAGCTTGGCCCATTGCCCCAAGAATTTCCCTGACCCCTTCTATGACAGCATCGGGGAGGCGGGGGGACAAACAGGCAAGCAGCCCCTGCCGCACTCCACCGCCACCAAGCCCGACCACATCTACGATGAGCCCGAGGGTCTGTCCACCCACATCGTCTACGATGAACCCGAGGAGGTGAAGGGAGAGGCGTGGAGGCTGCAGGCGGCCCCGGAGGAGCCCACCGGGCACGAATACCCCTACAACCCGCAGCAGGACGACTATGCGGTGCCCAAAAGACCTGTCCCTCTCCGGCAGCCCTTCCTGCTGCAGGGCAAGGAGTGGCTGGGGGATACCGAGTATGACAACGTGGGCCTCAAGTTTGCAAAGAAGAGGAACCTGCAGTGAGCGGGATGGGGAAGGAGAGGAGGAGAGGACACCCCACCCCGTCCCG